AATATACAAAGTGTCCCCTCGAGAGTCTGACTGGGAAACTGGGAGTTCAATCGCTCGCTATGACATGTGCTGACCACCGGGGGTGGCGCAAAACAAAGGAAGGCCCCAGCTGGCAGCCGGAAGGCCCCAATTGGTCCTGATCGCTGGCCAGGCCTAGGGACCTCACCCATGCAAGAATTTTGTGCACCGGGACTCTAGTATGTACATAAAAGCAATTTCACTTCTAGAAATTTGTCGTAAATAACCTGACGCACAAAAATCTGAATAGAAAAACCTGTCCTCTTGCCCTAGCTGGTTTGGCTCAGCGGGTAGAGTGAAAGGTCCCATGTTCGAGTCGAGTCAAGGGCACATGCTCGGGTTGTGGGCTCGATCCCCAGTGTGGGGCATGCAGGAGACAGCCAATCAATGATTCTCTCTCATCATTGATGTTTCATTTTATCTCTCCCTCTCCCTTCCTCTCTGAAATCAATACAAACATATTTTTAAAAAAGAAAAAAAGCTCTCCTCTCAAGTATTATGAATAATTGTTTCAAATTAGAAAAGAAACAAAAACATCTAACAAAAGAGGATTGTTTAAATACACCTCATGCATACCAATGAATCTAACCTTACTTCTAAGCTTCTGAATCATTCTTCTACACTATCAGGGGTCCTCAAAGTTTTTAAACAGGGGGCCAGTTCACTGTCCCTCAGACCGTTGGAGGGCCGGACTATAGTTTAAAAAAAAACTATGAACAAATTCCTATGCACACTGCACATATCTTATTTTGAAGTAAAAAAAACAAAACGGGAACAAATACAATATTTGTATTTGCATGTGGCCCGCGGGCCGTAGTTTGAGGACCCCTGCTAGAAATCCTAAATCCCAATTTAACAGGTCTCGCCAAAGCCGGTTTGGCTCAGTGGATGGAGCGTCGGCCTGCGGACTGAAGGGTCCCGGGTTCGATTCCGGTCAAGGGCATGTGCCTGGGTTGCGGGCACATCCCCAGTGGGAGGTGTGCGGGAGGCAGCTGATCGATGTTTCTCTCTCATCGATGTTTCTGGCTCTCTATCTCTCTCCCTTCCTCTCTGTAAAAAGTCAATAAAATATATTTAAAAAAAAAAAAAATTTAACAGGTCTTCTCTACTGCCCTCTGAATAAACCCAGCTGATTATATTTCTTAATCTTCTAACACTGTTGGATGAAGATTCTGTCTTATAAGGAGCATAAAATTGGAAAGATGAGGGATGCAAATGAAAGACTTAGCAAACTTAAAAACCTAAGTTTTAAGTCTAAAAAAAAAGTCAATACATAATCCAGATTATAATCTTTTTTATTCTTTAAAAAAAAAAATGTATATAGGCACATTCACTAAAACGGTCCAGAACAGGAGCTGGCACATTTTCTGTAAAGGGCCAAATAATAAACATTTTAGGTTTTTGGGTCTCTGTCACAACCTACTCAACTCTGCCCTCGTAAAAAAAGTAGCCAAAGGCCGTATGTAAATGAGTGTGGCTGTATTTTTAAAAATCATTTATGGATACTAAAATTTGATTTCATATAATTTTCACATGTCACAAAACAGTCTTTAAAATTTTTTCTCCACCCCCTTACAAATGTAAAACCCACTCTTACCTCACAGTTCATACAAAAGCAGGCCTCTGGTCAGTTTAGGCCTCAGATCAGTTTGCCAAACCCTAGTCTACAGCATACACTAGCGTAGTGACTAGAGCAGGGGTCCTCAAACTTTTTAAATGGGGGGCCAGTTCACTGTCCCTCAGACCGTTGGAGGGCCGGACTATAGTTTAAAAAAAAACTATGAACAAACTCCTATGCACACTGCACATATCTTATTTTGAAGTAAAAAAACAAAACGGGAACAAATACAATATTTGTATTTGCATGTGGCCCGCGGGCCGTAGTTTGAAGACCCCTGGACTAGAGCATGGTTAATGGTTTATCCTTAAATGATGGGATTACAGTATCATTTTTGTTGCTTACCTAACTTGTGTAATTTGTATCAATAGCACACAATAAACATATAAAAGAACACTTAAATAGCAGAGCAGTAGTTAGCATTTCAAAGAACAGTGTTATGGTAATAATACTCATCACCAAGACTGCCCAAGAAAGCAAACCTATGGAAAATAAAATTTACCAGTATTTCAGAAATTCCTGCACTGTATCATGCTGTCTTTTCTTCTCTTTTTCAGACTGGTTTTTTCCCCCCTCCATTCCTTTGCTTAGAATAAGTTCACCAGTTACCCACATCAATTTCTTTTATATGCACCAGGTCAAACTCACTTCTCAGGGGAGACTGCTGTTATCATGTCACTTCTTTGCTCAAGTTCCTAATCTGACTTCTAGACTTCTGAATTACTCCCCTACAGTAGGAATCCTAAACTCCAATTCTACAGGCCTTCTCTACAGCCCTCTGAATAAGACCAGCTATATCTAATTCCTTACTCCTCTAACATTGTTTGGGTGAAGATTCTGTCTTAGAAGATTGGAAAGATGAGGGATACAGATGAAAGTATTCAGAATAAATAGCCAATATATGCTAAGTGCCAAAAGAAAGTAGAGACTATTCACTGATGTACATATTTTTACCCCTTTCCCATGCCCCTTTTACTGGCATATACAATTGAGGGGAAAAAACAAACACTTGTACTTACTGAACTACACCTATATATGTTGCTCATAACGTCAAATTCAATTGTATTAACATTTTACAGTTTCAAAGAAACCAAAATGCCTATACTGCTATTGTACTCATGTAAATTTCCAGGGTTCCCCCCCCCCCCACATCCCCCATTATGGATTTGTAACTCAATGAAAATAATTTTCCACAGTTACATTGCTCCACAATTCTTAAGTCATTCAATTATGGTTAAAAAAGCCAGGACGTTGCCGTGACCAGGTTTAGCATCCTACATCCCAGGTGTGCCCCACCCCCTTACATCAGGAATGACCTTAAGCAAACTACTTTAACCTCTCTAAGCCTTTTCCCCTTCTCTGTAAAATGAAATGCGTACTTCATGCGGCTGTGGTAAAAATTAAACGAACAGGTGAAACCATTTCAGAGTGCTTCATACCTATCAAGAGCTCCTTAAATGCAAATTATTAGTACTACAGTGGGGTCTTGACTTACGAGTTTAATTCGTTCTGAGACCGAGCTCGTTAAGGAGCTCGTTAACTCAAATTACTCTATCAACTCAATGCAAAAAATCGGCTGAGACACAGCTGGTATCTCAAAAAACTCGTTAGTCGGGACACTCGTAAGTCAAGGCCCCACTGTATTCTTTTTTTTAAAATATGTTTTGTTGATTTTTTACAGAGAGGAAGGGAGAGGGATAGAGAGTTAGAAACATGGATGAGAGAGAAACATCGATCAGCTGCCTCCTGCACACTCCCCGCTGGGGATGTGCCCGCCACCAAGGTACATGCCCTTGACCGGAATCGAACCTGGGACCCTTCAGCCCGCAGGCCGACACTCTAGCCACTGAGCCAAACCGGTCAGGGCTATTAGTACTGTTCTTGGCGCCCCAAACCAATAATGCGACTGTCAAGACTAGATTATTGGGTACCTTTGTTTTCCGTGATTTTGCAAAATCTGAGCAGAGAATAGTCCAAGTCTGCCCGGTGGGAGAACTCGCCCACATTCCTGTTGCACCAAGTAACTTGGCGCTGTCCGCACCTTCACGTGTGCCTGGTTTCGCACAACCCTCGGGAGGCGTCATCCCTGACCCCCGCGAAGCCGTAGGAAGATGTAACGGAGATGAAATGATGTGTCTGGGGGGACATGCTTCCAATTAACCCGGGGAGGAGGGCCAAGTCCGGCCGCCGACGGGTCACGGACGGAGCGGGGTGACGGGCACGCCCAGCGCTTCACACCATCCTCTCGGCTTCGTGGGAAGAGTCCCATCAGAAAATGTGTTTTGACGCGTCCAAAGGTCGGCCCTTTCTTTCCGGTTTAACGTAAATCCCGGTCACAGGAAGATTCGCGGGGAAGTTCTGGGCGGCGACACGTCAAACCACCGCCCACCCCAGGTGAGGCCGCCGACGCCTCCCAGGGACCAGCGCTCCGGTGCG